ACAATTTAAGAAAGCACTCTCATTTATCAAAAATCAATGTTTCTTTTAATTAAAGGGGCTTAGGAAAAACAAAAAGCACTTTTCCCACTGTATTGTTAGCAGTTGTTCTTCATTAGACAATACCAGGTTTCCATTAGCTTTGTGTAATTCCAGAGTCCAATAACCACTGTCAAATGCTGAAGATGTAGCTGCATAAGTCTGATTTAGAACAGCTATTTAGATCTCAATTATTAATGAAATTAGTGTCCTGAATGTCAGCAAGAGCACTGCCTTAGGTAAAGGCTGTAAAGGAAATCATATTAGTGTGGAATTTCCTCTCCTTAGGGGCTCCTCTTAGATTACATTATTCACTTAGCTATCTCCTGTCAGGGAAATTGAAATGTTGGCCATGATCTGATCCTGGGGCAGAACCAAATGGAGAAGTTAAGGGGTATCACAATGGCATTGATTCCAAAACGTTTGTGTGGTGCTGGCATTGCCTTTGGTCCTGTTATTATTTACAAAATAGCACCAGCAAGGACAGCATATATGGCAAACAGAAGAATGAAGTGAAGAGGAGCCCCTTTAGGGAAAATTGAGTGGCAGTCCATCCGATAGGCAAGTTGCATTTCTTCTCTTTGGGCTGTGCCCGGGAACACTGGCAGGTGCCATGGCTCCTCTGTGGCCCTTCATCCTGGTGGCTGCCTCAGGTGGGTCCTTTTACTGATTTATTTTAGGCACTGAATATTAATTCTTAGAAGTGAAAGACAATATTTTTCTATATTGTGCTGTATAACTCCTTACAAGTGTTTTTTATTTATCATCTGTAAAATGCCAGTCCTGTGAGGCTACGTGGAGCCCAGTGATTTGTTATGTCTTTGCTCCTACAATTACAGTTACATATATATAAACAGAGTCACACAGTGGGACTCTTTACACATGGCTGAAAATACGGTCTGAAATATAATTGTTTGATAAAATCTCTGCTCCTTTAGAAATCAAGCTCTCTTTGCGGCAATTTACCCTGATAGTTTGGGGCATTCTTTTTCAGATTTGCTTTTATGTGTGAACAATATATTTTTATTATCCAAAATAGTCTTGGCTTTGTTATAAGCTTTCAGTAGCCCAGAGAAAGAGTCTCTTGGATACAGCATGGCTAAGACACCTAGATATCGTTTTGGTATCAGGGGTTTCACCCAGCTGTACAAAGTCTATATAGATAATGAGTATATCTCTAAAGACAAGTACTAGAAACTTGCATGTTTTGAGTGTGCAATTCCCCTTAAAATACTTCAAATTTCTAGAGCTAAACTTTTGTGGTGCCAACATTAACTCTACTGAATTGGGCCATTGGCATTAGGATCCAATTGGTTCTTTAAAACACATATAGGTCAAGAATATATGCTTATTCTGGTGTTCCCCTAAAACCCCCACTTTCTTGAGAGGCCTCCTAGAGCTCATATCTAGGAGTTTCTGTGTTTTAAAATATAACTGGAAGTGGAATGAGTCAATTATGGAGATGAGGAAGGAATTTGGTAACCCAGCAGCTGGAATTGATTTTTTATTGGGTGGAGAAGAAAAATAGCCACTTATCATTAAAGTAGAAAAATCCTGAATATTGAACAGAAAGGATAAAAGCATATCTTAATTATAAAAATGAAAACAGGAAATTTCATTAAATGCCAAATGGGTTTCTTAGCAGAAAATAATTGTGAACATTAAGCTAAGTAAGATAAAATAGAAAAATAAAGGTAAGGAAAAGGAAGAAATTCTTTTTAATGAGGTCTCTTTCTAATGTTTTGTATTATGCTTGGTTTTTGTTCTAAATGTGACAGAAAATGTGTATTAATGGTGTCTAGTAATCAGTACTTGACCATAAATCATACTGGGGACATGTGTTGCAGAAAAATCTGCCCTTTGGAATTTTTGCTGGGTTAATATCCAGATGATTTGTAAATACAGGAGCACTAAACCAATCACCAATTCAAGGCCGCTGCCTGAAGGTAGTGTCCCAGGCAAGAGGCCCAGATTAGGACACCCGTTTAGTTTCTGCTGCGCCACTCACCAGCCATGTGACCCTGAGCAAGTCAATTAATCTTTTAGAGATTCAGTTTTCCCGTAAGTTAAATGTTTATTTTGTATATCACGAAGATCAAATAAGATAGCATTGTGAAAGTATAAAGTACAATGCAAACAGAAGATATTTTTGACCTGAAAACACACATACACAGAAAAAATAACAATGGGCTGTTTTTGCCCAGTGATGTACACCATGCAACATGCCAATCTTTCTTTTGAAGGGCTACTCACTGCTGTCCCTAATATTCTCAGGGAGCCAGGTGGGTGTAATGTCATGGGCTTTGGATCCAGAGCAGTTATGTTTAAATTTCAGCTTCTTCATTTGCTGGCTATATGAGTTTGGGTGGTACTAGCCTCACTAAGCCTATAGTCCCTCACCTGTAGTAAAGTGACTCTTCATAGGGCTGGAGAGTACCTCTCTCATAAGGCTATTGTTGTGAAACCCAAATGAGATAATTCGCGTAAAATGCTCTTAGCCCAGTGTGTGGCATACAGCATGTACTCAGTCAGATTTGGGAATTCAATAGATCACACACCTAAATCTCAATTTCCTTGTAAATTATCAGGTATACGTATAACTCTTTTATAATCCTAAAGATGACATACTAAAGTGAGAACAGCTCTTTTCATGAGAGTGCCAGAACACTTTAGGATAGAATTTGTTGAAACAGGGCAAACAAAAGAATAATTCTATTGTATTCTGATCTTTTTTTTAATCTCTCTTCTCTTAAAAGTACTTCATAGCTCAGTCCCTAACACATGCTACTTTCCAGAAATCTTACCAGTGAATTATTTGGAGCCAATTATTCGCATCCATAGAGGCAGTGCTAACGAGGAATCTTTCCTGGGTCTGTGGATAGCTCCCATCAGTGTCTGTTGAAACATCACTGAACTGTGAGTCATTTAGTGCTTGTGTGAATGTCACATTAGCTTTCAAGGGGCATAATTTACTGTTAATTAATGGTCACTTAAATCCTTAATCTCTCTCCTGTAATTGATCTTTCTCCTCAGGCAAATTTGCATTCATAGTAGAAATGTAATTTATTATTTCTTCCCATTTGAAACAAAGAACTCTCTACCCTTATAGTTTATTTAAGCATACTTGCATTTCCTTTCTTATTTTTCCTCTTACCATTGCCTGTTTCTCTGTCGTTCCTAGTCCTAGACTCTAGGACTTTCTCTTTTTACCTAAAGACTTTGACATGATCTGGAAAATAATGTTCACCCTAAGGGGACCTATGGATTGTTTCCTAGAAAAGATAGCAGTAGGGAATTTGAGTCTTTATGAGCAGAGGGTATAGAGAAAACACATTCATTTCTTAGAATTATGTTTTTTAACTCTGTCTCAGATAGTTTCCTATATCGAAATGCGCACATTCCGGTGTTTCCCCAACTGGGACTTGAATTGGGAGCTTCCAAGCGAGGTGAAAGTAAAGTTGCCCAAAGCAAAGTTCACAGGAAAAGCACCAGACAAGCTTTGCTTTGTGCTCCTCCTGACTTCTCTCCCCTGGGGTACACCAGCAAGAAATGGTCTCAGGTAGAGAGCTTCACAGCACATTTTTTGACGATTGTGGTTCACAAAAAAACCTAAAAATGATGCCTGATGCAAGCCACCTACCTTAGTCCTGCACGCCTGAATAGCTGATGCCATTTTAGGCATCTTCTTGGGTGAATAGTTAGGGGGTTAAAATGCTCATTAGCTTCGCAGTTCTGGTGGTAATGAAAGTGAATATTCCACTGCCCACGATGAGTCTGCAATTGCACCTCCAGCGTCGTTGTTAGCATTTTGGTCACACTGACATTGATAAATCATAGAAATTGCTGCCTGTGGCGGCAGGTGACATGACATCGTTCATAAAGAAATGGGTATAAACAGTCCTGTCGCAGAGAGAGAAGATATCTCATTTACAGTTTCCTGCTGGATCCTCCACACCTTCAGCAGCTCATCAAAATAACCATCAAAACCACTGAGAGGTGAGGTGAATTCACGCACAGGACACTACAGATAGATTTCCCTCACGCACTGTGGCAGGAGGTGTGCAATTTGCTTCAGTCCAATGACTTAGCGAAGCTTTGAATCCCCCAGGAGCTGGCAGGGTTTGTGAGCAAAATATCTTTTTGCAATTCAGAGGAAGTCCTCACAAATTTGTCACTTCCAATTGTTGGTGCTCGTTTCTCTTGCTTCTTTTCCCCTGGCCACCCCTACCTCAACACCAATCACCGCTCTTCTACAAATCAGGTTTCCCAGGTCATAACAAAAAAAATAAAAATAAAAAAAATAACCCACACACAAAAAAACAATGGTTGTTCTCTGAAACCAGAAAGAGTTTCCCAAAACGAAGATCTCATTTTCTGACAAGTGCATTTTATTTAAAGATGGTTGAGTGAGAAAAGAAAAAAAATTTTTTAAGGAGAAGAGTATGCATTGAAATCTCATTAATTCCGTTATTTAGGAATCCTCACAGATCTCTGGACTCGCTGGTTTGCCCCCATTTCTGCTTGGGTTTCCTATTAACTGTTGAGTTATGAATGGAAAAATCAGAAGAAAAATCCAAGGAGGAGATCATTTTTGGCTAAGTGTACAGGGTAGTTTTTTTTTTTCCTGTGTTTTAGGAGGGGGTGATACAGAAATAAAGGATTCTGTCTCCAAGACATGTGATTGCTGTGAAAACAGAATTGTAGGTGCAGTTTGGATCCTTGGAGACGGGGTTGATTTATTTATCTTTACAATGTGATGTCTCTATTGGGCACTTAGGTCATCAGCTTACTTTAAATAAGTGTCTGCCAAAAAGCCCACCAGCTGGCTGTGAACTTCAGCAGATTGGGGATAAGCTGAACACTATGCTCTGCTAGGAGCCACCAAGTCCTGAACAGTCTGAGATCTCCTAAAGATGCTAAACTCCTCTTATTTTCATTCTCACAATGACAGTTTTGTTTTTCAGAAATCCTAGCCATAGATACGCCTCATTCCAGGAATTCTGCTCTGTACCGTCTCACGAAGCAGCTATTACAGAAACATCACAAGAAAGTGAGGCCAGTTCACGACTGGACCGTGGCCACCACGGTACACCTGGACGTGCTTGTCCATGCCGTATTGGATGTGGTAAGGACCACCTTACCCTTTCCAATTCCTGTTTCCCCTTTGTAAAACCACCTGCTGTTAACGCAGGAGCCCAATTGAGCTGGTGGGGAAGTTGTGCTAGACTCGTGTTAGCAGTGAGCAGGAGGTAAAATATTTATTAGGTAAATCATGCTGTCTAGCCCTCGACTTGCAATGTGAGAGGCAGATCGTCTCAAAACAGGAGTTCCATGGAATTCAGAGGTTTTAAGACTTGTGGTCATAGATCACTGTACTATTTTATGAGTTTGCTGAAACCAAAACTGATAATAGGTAATTATTTTTCCTGTGGCTTATATTTCTTAGTGATAGTTGTAGATTTAAGAAAAACATCTACCACTTGCTGCCTGAAATTGAGAAAAAGAGAAAAAAGTGCCCTAGTGCTAGAGTGTATACCCGATGTGTTTGCTAAGGATGGTAAGGGAAGATTTGTTTATAAAGCTGTCTTTCCTTCTATATCTAGAAAGTGGGTTGTTGTGGGAATTAGATGAGAGACTCCATGGAAAGCAGTTAGCAGAGGTCTTAGGACACCTTCAGGAAATGATGGCTTATTCCTGCTTCCTCTTCTTTTTTCTTCATTGTAAAGCCTTCAATATCAGTAGGTTCCAGATTTATTTAGATTTTTCTTAAAAACTTACTCTACTGAACTTGTTTGTTAATGTAGTTTAATATTTTTTTCAATTTACTACTCAAAACTTTTTTTTCTAATTGAGTTATAATATACATATGTTGCAATGCACAGATCTTAAGTATATAGTGCACTGGGTGCACCCAGAAAATTCACCCCTCTATCAATATAACCAATATTTCCATCACCCCAAGAAGGTCCTTTGTTGACTTCTCAGCCAATCCCCATCCCTCCATCCACAGGGACAACCACTGTTCCAATTGCTTTCACCATAAATTATTTTTGCCGGTTCTAGAATTTCATATGACTGAGATTTTATTGTATGTCCTCTATTGTGTCTGGATTTTTCATTCAGCATCATGTTTTGAGGTTCAGGCATGTTGTTGTGTTAATTAGTAGTATTTTTTTAATTGACGAATAGTATTTGGTTATGGTTATACCATGATTTGTTTATCCATTCTTTTTCTTTGTTTTTAGAGAAAGGAGGGAAGGTGAGCCAGGTGGGAGGGGGAGTAGAGGGGCAGAGGGAGAGGGAGAGAGAATTTTAAGCAGGCTCCATGCCCAGCACAGAGCCGAACATGGGCTTGATCTCACGACCCTGAAATCATGACCTGAGCCAAAAATCAAGATTTGGACACTTAACCAACTGAGCCACCCAGGCACCTCTGTTGATCCATTCTCATGTTGCTAGGCATTTGGTTTCCAGTATTGGGATGTTATTAATAAAGCTACTGTGAACATTCCTATACAAGTCTGTTTATGCACATGTTTTTATTTTTCTTTGGTAAAACCTAGAAGTGGAATAACTGGCCGAGATAGGTGTACCCTTATTGAGAAACTGCCAGACTGATTTACAAAGTGGTTGTATATTTTACACTCCTATGAGTCAGCTATGAGAGTTCCCATTGCTCCACATCCTCATCAATATTTGGTGTTATCTGTCTTCTTAATTTTAGCCATTCTGTTGAGGATGCAATAGTATTTCATTGAGGTTTTACTTCAAGTTTCTCTGATGGCTAGTGACCAAGAATTCTTTTTTGTGTGCTTATTGGCTACTTACGTATCTTTCTTTGTGAAGTACCTTTTTAAGTCCTTTCCCTATAGACTCGTGGGCATTGTTTCTATATTTTCATATGTATACATTGCAAATATTTATCACCAGCCTCTGGCTTGTGTACTAATTATTTTAGTGGGTCTTATGATGAATAGAAGTTTTAAAATTTAATGAAGTCCATTTAAAATCAATTCCTTAGTTGTGGTTAGTGCTCTTTGGGTACTGACTAAGACATATTCATGACTCCAGGTCCACAGAAGTTATTTTCCTATATTTTCTGTCTAAAGATTTATAGTTTTTAGCTCCTTAGATTTAGTTCCATGCTCTAGTAAGAATTAATCTTTGTGATGGTGTGAGATATGAGTCAAAGTTTTTGTTGTTGTTTTTGTATTTTGTTTTTGTTTTTATCTGCATTCAGACAGGAGTCATCTCAGCAGTATTTTTGAAAAGGCACCACTTCACCATTGAATTGATTGGTGCCTTGGTTGAAAATTCAACTGCCGGATAAGTGTCAGGCTATTTCTCTTGAAATCAGGCGGTGTAAGTCCTCTGCATTTCTACGCAAATTTTATAATCAGCTTGTCAGTTTCTATCTTTATTTTTATTTATTTATTTTTTAAATAATAAATTTATTTTTTATTGGTATAGTTTCTATCTTTAAAAAAACTGTTGGGAGTTTGCCTAGAATGGTATGGAATCTACAGACTAATTTAGGGGAGAATTGACATCTTAATAATACCAAATATTCTAGTACTTGATTATGTTATGTCTCTCCATTTTTTTCGGTCTTCAGCAGTGTTTTATAATTTTCAATGTAGAAGCTTTACATATATTTCTATTAAATGAATCCCAAGTGCTTTTGATGCTGCTATAAATATTACTTGAAAATTTTTATTTTGTACTTATTTGTCATTATAATAGAGAAATACTAATTTTTCATATTGACTTCATATACGTGGCCTTGCTAAGTTCACTTATTAATTTTAGTAGTTTTTTATAGATGAATATTGTCTTCATATACAATCATGTCAACTGAAGATAGTTTTACTTCTTCCTTTCTTTTTTTTTTAAAGATTTATTCATTTATTCATGAGAGATGCAGAGAGAGGGGCAGAGACGCAGGCAGAGGGAGAAGCAGGCTCCCTGTGCAGAGCCTGATGCAGGACTTGATCCAGAACCCTGGGATCATAACCTGAGCCAAAGGCAGATGCTTAACGGACTGAGCCACCCAGGGGCCCTACTTCTTCCTTTCTGATCTGTTTTTACTCTTTATTTTTTCATTGTCATATTGTATCACCTAAGATCCCTCCTACAATTTAACAGAAATGGTGAGAGCAGACATCCTTGTTTATTCCCATTCTTGGGAAAAATTTTCACTGTTAGGTATAATGTTAACTATAGCTATTTTTTGTTGATGTTCTTTATCAGGTTGAAGAAGTTCCTTCCTATTTCTTGTAAACTAAAAGTTTTATTTTGTTTTTTTAAATCATGAATGTATATTGAATTATCTCTAATGTTTTTTTCCATCTATTTGCACGATCAGATAATTTTTCTGTTTTATGCAGTTAATAGGGTAAATTATTTTGATTGATTTTCAAATGTTAAAGTGTCCTTGCATTCCTAGGATAAACTCCATTTAATCTTGACATATTATCCTTTTTATATATTTCTGGATTCAAATACCTGCTTAATATAGATTGCATCTATGTTAATGAAGAGTATTGGGCAATAGCTTTTATTTCTTGTAATGTACATGTCTCTCTTGGTGTTAGGGTTATGTTGGTCTTTAAAAACTGCTAAAACATCTTTCCTTTTCAATTTTCTGAAGGAGTTGTGTAATATTGATATTTTTCTTTCTTAATGTTTGATAGAATTCATTAGTACAACCATCTAGATAGGATTAGAGTTTTCTTAGTGAGAAGATATTCAAATGTCAATTCAATTTCATCAATATGTATAAGAATGTCCAAATTTTCTATTTCTTCTTGTGTCGCTTTTAGTAATTTGTATTTTTCAAGGAATTTATCTATTTATCCAAATTTTCAAATTTATTTGTTTATAATATTGCCTTTTCCATTCCTCATGTGGGTAAATTGTGTTTTCTCTTGTTCAATATTGTGAAAGTTTTATCAATTTGACTTATTTTTTCAAAGAACCAAATATTCATGTTGAATTTTATCTGTTATCCAAATTTTCAAATTTATTTGTTTATAATATTGCCTTTTCCATTCCTCATGTGGGTAAATTGTGTTTTCTCTTGTTCAATATTGTGAAAGTTTTATCAATTTGACTTATTTTTTCAAAGAACCAAATATTCATGTTGAATTTTATCTGTTTATTTCACTGATATCTGCTCTTTTTAAAAAGATTTTATTTATTTATTCATGAGAGACACACAGAGAGAGAGGCAGAGACATAGGCAGAGAGAGAAGCAGGCTCCATGCAGGGATCCCAATATGGGACTCGATCCCAGGTCCCCAGGATCACGCCCTGGGCTGAAGACCCAACCACTGAGCCACCCAGGCATCCTTGATATTCTGCTCTTTATTTAATTTCTTTCTTTTAATTTGTCTTTCTTTACCTAGTTTCTTAAAGTGGAAGCTAAGATCATTGATTTTATGCCTTTCTCTTCTAATTTTAGCATTTATAGCTGTAAACTTTCCTTTAAGTACTGATTTAACTGTATCCTACAAAATTTTGCATTATTTTAAAATCAAGACATGAGTAAAATGAGACATCTTACTAAGGCTGATTGCTTCCCCCTACCCCCAATACCAATGCAATCAGTGATCTTATCTTTCTCACTATAGTTTTGCTTTTCCAGAAAGCCACATAAATGGAATCCTATAGTATTTTACCCTTTGTTTTGTCTTCTTTCATGTGGCATAATGCCTTGGAAATTACACGTTTTGTTGTAGAGTCAGTAACATTCCATTGTGCAGGTGTGTGTACTGCAATTGGTTTATGTTTTTACCAGGTGTTGGACATGTGGGTTATTTCCAATGTGGGGAAATCATGAGCAAAATCACTATACACATCTGCGTATGTTTTCACTTCTCTTGGATAAATACTTAGATGGAGGATTGCTGAGTTATATGTATGATAAACCTGTGTTTAACTTTATAAGAAACTGCCAAACTGTTTCCCAAAGTGGTTGCATCATTTTGAGTTTCAGTTCCTCTATATGATTGTCAACACTTGCTATTGTTAGTCTTTCTAAATTTTAACCATTTTAATAGATTTGTGGTGATAGCTCACTGTGGTTTTTAACTTGTATTTCACCTAAGACTAATGGCATTGCCT